GTAAAATAAAGTCAAGAAACCACTGAATAATACTCCCTTTACACAGTGTCGACGAATGCTTGCCTTTGGCTGTTTTGCACACTTGAGAATTTACGTGTGACGTCTTTCTCCGGCATTCGACGGATGTTGTTATTTTCAAAGTTGAATTCTAAATCTGGATGTCCAGATGGTTGTCATAACATGTCAATAATAACTCATCCATCTTCCAGCCAGCTGGCAAAAGTAAACGGCTCGGGTTGTTTTGCTTCTTTATAGTCCAAAGGCTGTATGTCATTTTCTAAACATTGAATTGTATAACCTTCTCTGAGATGAAAGATTGTGGGGATATTTGAGTTTATAAGATATATATATATTTAGAATCTAGGAGGGTGAGGCAGTTTCAGACGGCTCTCTAAAGTATTTTATTTAGAGATTCGAACCTTACGCCTGTCCAGGCTTCCCAGAAACATTTATGGGGTGGGGACCCCCTTTTTAATTTTGATTTTAAGAAGAAAAACATAAAATACAATGAATTAGTCAATAAAAAAAGAATCAATGCTATAAGAAATATTTGTTTAACTAAAATTTAATGCACATTTTAATGAATAAATTAGGAAACCATTTTCTAAATGGGTAGGAATTGGGGTTAGATAGTTCAGTTGTAATATCCTTCAGTAGTTCCTTGATACTGTGGACAGGTCTCTGTAATATTGCTATAACAACTGCATACTAAAAAAAACTACATACTGCACACAGCATTGCACTATACAACTGCATAATGTGCGGGTGACTAGGTAAAATAACCATATAAAATACATTTGTTAATTAGTTAACCAGCAAAGGTTAGGGAACCACCACTGTTTTGGATAACTTGGAAGCAGAATGGTTATAGTTAGGTAGTGTGAGAATTTAGAATTTTAGCTGGTTCGATCCATAAGAAATCTGAAGCGTTTTGATTGTTAAAATTGGCCCCATATGTCTTTGATCAGTGAGGTTTTTGATAAATGGTCCGTCTAAAAACACACGATTTTGGTATTCTTTGCTCGCTGATTTAAAATCAGTAAAGTTTAAAAATACACTTTAAAATAGTACACATGATGACTACTATTTAAGTAATGAAAAATTCATCACCATTAATACACAAACTTAAACACCCATCTACAATGCAAACTAGGAGCTATATATTTCTTGATTTATTTTGCCTGTCAGCAGGATTGACTATTTGTCATGTAGTTTAGCCGAGAAGCTCGGTTTCAGCTGACACGGTTGTCAAACTTTGGCGCGAATCTACAGGAAGAAGAGATAAGATAGCGATGGCTGTGGCCTTGACAGAGCGGCGCCGACTATAAATACAGGAGGCTGTGTCTTCCTGGCAGCAGTACTGTCGTGATGGCCGTATAATTGGACAGTAAAATTTGAAAATATCTCAAAGAGAACACTGCGTAGCAAACATCGCAGTAAATTTAAACCCACAACTCAAAATACCACTTGGAAAACCACAATGTGTGCAATTGTTGACAAAGTGTCCTTGAAAAATATATATATATATATATATATATATTAACTTCATTTTATTTTACAATCTGTTCAGTACTTTGAACAATTAGTAAAAGGGATGATATAAATAAGTGTCTTGACCAAGAATCTCCCCTGTGAAAGATCCTGCAAAATTAAATAGTCATGTCATAACTAAAACTATGCAAATCGGTATGTGAGTTCAAGAACTTTCAAAATTTCCTTGAAAATATGTTTGTACATGTTTAGTGTGTTGTTATGACAGCTGTTTCTATAATCTAAACAAATAGAACCGGATAGTGAAACAGTTAAATTTAATATGTACGAGGGGTCCTGTGCGTAAATGGCGCATCTAAATATTGTTCAAGTTTCCCCAGGCAAAACGAGTAATTCACACTCCTTTACCTTTCAAAGATTACGTTTGTTATAGACAATAAATTAACTACTAAAAAGAATTAACAGTAAATTAATTACTATCTTTTGATTGTAGATATGAACCATAAGGGGAGATTTTCCTAATAGATTATTCATAAAAGGTGCCTATTTAAAATCCGTTTCCATAGACTGTTTCGTCTCTTGTTTACAATCTGACTTTATACTTTCAACTGAAGGATGAAGGATCAGCTGTCAGCTGTTAAAATTACAATCCAAAACCATTTTAAAGAAAGTTGTTCAGCATCAGTGGATCTCTGAAAGCAAACTCCAGATATATACCATAAATTAAACCATGGATTAAGCAAACTGTTTTCTTAATCTATGACTAAACGCTCGTGGGCGAAGGCCTAGGCACAAAAGGAACCCAATTTGTACCATTTTAGTTACCATTCGTGCCTACCCTGGATCATAAGCTTTAAAATGACACCACAATCGTTAAAATGGTGTAGGACAGAAAGGAATAATACTGAGAAAACCCTTAAAGCAATAATGATATATGCATAAAATGGAAAGTTGTAATTTGAATAGATGTTTTTTATTTATTTAAAGTAAAATATGTAGTCCACACCTAGGATAATATTTAATCCCCCTAGGTCCACCCCCATCCCAGCTTTGCGGTTGTCGTGTGTGTGTTGCTCAATCAAATCACGCATAAACTACTGGATTGATTGGGCTGAAATTTGGCATGATGATAGCTTACATTCTCGATTAACTTTTACAGCATATTCTTACCTCAAAAATCCTTTCGGGCTCCGCTCCAGTGGCTATGTAGTTCCTCATATTAACCTTATGGGTATTCATATTTAAAGGGAATTAAAGAATTTAGTCAGCTGTTTCAACTAAAAAAATGTGTTCTATGATATGTAAAAGCATTAAAAGTTTGCCAACAGGGTGCAGCACTATAATTTTTTTTTCATTTTTGAAAACAGCTAATTTGAGCCATTGCCTATTTGAACTGAACATCAACAAAACTGTGATATGCAATGAGAACTTTCAAAGTTGGACTCTTTTCAGTTATGTTTATGTTTTTAATTTCATGAATAATTTGTGATATTTTGCAAATTTTAAATATTTTTTTTCTCTTTGTTGTTTAGGTGAAGTGGTAGAACATTATGGCAATGGTAGATGTGTAATACTAAAGTATACCGTAAATTTAAAGAAGCAAATTTTATCAAAATGTGTCCTCTCCCCTGTCTTTCTCACCTATGGGTCTTTTTCAGAAGAGGGCCGCCAATTTTTTAACTATGGAATATCCACAGTTTAGGTTAGGTTAGGTTAGTTTATAGCTTTACTCACACATCTTTTATTTACTAAACAGAAATAATCGCAAAACTAAAAAATCACCTAACCTAAACTGTAGTTTTTCAACAGTTTAAATAGTAATGGGCATCTTCAGAAAAAAGACCCATTAAAGCACTTTTAATTGCATTCTTAATATGAAAATAACTATCTTATACTGGTGTGAAGCCTTTACAAATTAGGAATTTGAATTAAACATTATATCATAAATGAATTAGAACAGGAATGTATGACATTACGGGACCCTTTGCCAATGTTAATCTCAAGCTTTCCACACCAATTCCATTTGACAAAGAGAAAGATACGCTTGCTTCTAAACAATGCCTTCCTCTACCGCCCTCCAAGCATACGTCGACACATCTGACATGGCAAAGAATCTAAAGAACTTCTGTGATCGCGAGCACGATGTCTGCCTGTCTGTCTGCAATTATTCCTGTCTGTATGTTTGGCGAACTTTCAAGTTTTGTTAATGCGAAAAAAATCCTTTACAATTCCCTCTTAAAATTAGTTTGGTGTTTCTATTTGTTCGAACAATAGACGTAAAAACAAAAGTTAAAAAATTAACTAATCTAAGATGATTTGCAGTTGGAAATTGAGAAATAAATCTATTAGATCGACGGTTACTTTTTTTAAATGACATGCATGAAATAAAGGTGAGGATAAATAATTGTAAGCCAATAATACACCATTTTGTCGGGTTTTGTTTGTTTATTACTTTTAAGGAAAGTTCAATTAGGAGACCAAACAAATTTAACAAATTTTGGAAGTTTTAGTTAATCTTTTGCTCGTTGCATACTTTTTAGAAGTTGTAATTCATGATACTGTACTGAAATCTCGATCTGACAAAGTAGGTCTTAACAACCCCTGAAATAAATCAGGGTGGTTTATAACCATCTTCTATATTAATTTGATTTTAATTTCTGGTTTCAGGGATGAGAACTGTCTCTATAGTAGAGAACTCCCTTTCCTAAAATTCATACGATGATAAAATTATTAATAAAATAAACAAGACGCAATCCAAGAATAAAAACCTCAAAGGAGCTATACGATTAGGGGTCCGGACAATAAAGGAAACCTCAGTCCGGGTACTGAAGGGCCCACACGCCGCAGTCCGGGTACTGAAGGTCCCACACTCCACAGTCCGGCTACTGAAGGGCCCACTCTGCCCGGTCCGGCTACTGAAGGTCCCACACTCCACAGTCCGGGTACTGAAGGGCCCACACGCCGCAGTCCGGGTACTGAAGGTCCCACACTCCACAGTCCGGCTACTGAAGGGCCCATTCTGCCCGGTCCGGCTACTGAAGGGCCCACTGTGCCCGGTCCAGGTACTGAAGGGCCCACACTACGCATGTATCTGATTATACTTGTATGTGTACATTATCTAAAATTTTGTTGGGATATTTTCACGGTATGATTAGGTTTCCAAAAAGTTCGATTGACACACGGCAACAAATTTAATACCTGTTTATTTGAATTTTAGGCACAGTAGGGTTACTACACAGAGAGAATACAAGTGAGTATAATTTCAAATGATTTGGCCACATTATGTTTAACTTTTAATTAGCTTTAAACGAAACTCTTTATGTAAATTCATAATCGTGGCTCGTCTTGATCCATTTCAAAATAAAGTTATTGAAGTTTGGTTTCCAGAATGACCCAAACAGTATATTTTCAGACACAAGAACGGCACTTTTGTACATCGGCGTAAAGCGTTTAACTCTCTTAATAAAAGTCTCACCATGCTTTATAATTGGACAATGGATTTAAATGTTTTAAGAATTCGTAGTGGGAAATGGTACTGTAGGTTTGAGGTGGCAAGTGAAAATATTGGTTTCTGAACCACTTGTTTCATCGTTTCGAATGTCATTTTCCTCATTTTTCTCTCCTTTCCTGACTGCAAGAGATAAGAACGGAGTAATCCTTTTGGTGATTTCACTTTTCAAAAACTCCCCTGAAAGCAAAACGTCGGTCGACTCTAAGTTATAGACTTGTTCAAAGTAATCATCATACACATTAGCTATTTCTCCATCAATCATTATTTTCTGATGTTTAATATTTAGTGCTACTGGGTTTCCTTCCGCCTCTTCTAGAATAGTTTCATCATAGAATCTCCCTGATACGAAAGCGTCTATTCCATCCTCACACAGTTTTCGGTGTGATTTGAAATCGGCTTTTTGATCTTTAAATAGTTCTAATTCCTCTCGGTATTCTTGGACTATATAAATTGGTTTTTGGTCCTTTCTAAAGTGGCCTGATATGAGAAGACGCAAACGGGTTGGATCTCGTAATGCTTGTGCCAAGGGCTTTACTCCTCCACCATCCACATCTTTATCTTCGACATTTTCTTCCGATCTGTTGTCTAACACCCCGTCATATTTTCCATATTTTCCTTGTTCTTCTTTGATTATATTGTCTTCTTCTACTATATTTTCTTCTTTGCATTTTTCTTCATCTCCAATCTCTTCCTTTTCCTCCTCCTCTTCTTTAACCCTTCCTTCCTCCTCTTCGCCGTTTTCATCATCCTCTTCACCTTTTTCTTCGTCCTCTTCACCTTTTACTTCATCCTGTTCTCCTCCTTCTTTCTCGTCTTTACATTTCTCTTCCCCGTCTTCTCCTTTATCTTTGTCCTCTTTACCTTTTTCTTCGTCCTCTTCACATTTTTCTTCGTCCTCTTCGCCTTTTACTTCATTCCGTTCTCCTCCTTCTTCCTCGTCTTTAAATTTCTCTTCCTCGTCTTCTCCTTTATCTTCCTCCTCTTCCTGAGCCTTTTCCTTCTCTTCGTAGTCCTTATCACTTTCTTCTTCTGTTTTTTTCGTTTTCTCGTTCACCTCTGATTTTCTTTTTTCTTCACTAACCTTACGTTTTTCATCGTCTGAGTCAGAACTTATATTATCTACTCTGTCTATCAAATTACTCATTTCTCTATGTGCCCTGTCGTAATTAGTCACATCGTAGGAATCAGAGTCTTTACATTTCTCTTCCTCGTCTTCTCCTTTATCTTCCTCCTCTTCCTGAGCCTTTTCCTTCTCTTCGTAGTCCTTATCACTTTCTTCTTCTGTTTTTTTCGTTTTCTCGTTCACCTCTGATTTTCTTTTTTCTTCACTAACCTTACGTTTTTCATCGTCTGAGTCAGAACTTATATTATCTACTCTGTCTATCAAATTACTCATTTCTCTATGTGCCCTGTCGTAATTAGTCACATCGTAGGAATCAGAGTCTTTACATTTCTCTTCCTCGTCTTCTCCTTTATCTTCCTCCTCTTCCTGAGCCTTTTCCTTCTCTTTGTAGTCCTTATCACTTTCTTCTTCTGTTTTTTTCGTTTTCTCGTACTTCTCTGATTTTCTTTTTTCTTCACTATCCTTACGTTTTTCATCGTCTGAGTCACTTATACTATCTACTCTGTCTATGAAATTACCCATTTTTCTATGTGCCCTGTCGTAATTGGTCACATCGTAGGAATCAGAGTCTTCTCCAATCAAACCCTTTATCCCTTTAGTTTTTAGTTGTGTATGAACGTCGTTTTTCATTGTTTCAAGATTTTCGTCTGGAACTAAGAACAACTTACCATCCACGTAGCCCTCGTGGTATAGGTGAACCTTGTCGTCTTTTGGTTTTTCTAGTTCAGGAGACAAACTTTCGTCTCCCAGCGCCTTTTTTGCAGACACAAGTTTCATTGTATCAAACATATCTGCAGGGACTGCTTTTGTCTTCATCTCTCTTCCTCTGATGGGCTTCTCTTTTAAGAATTCTGCGTGGTGCCTGCTCATGTTGCTTTGATCAGAAATGTAAAATTATTGTTTACCTAATAAATTTTGGTAAATATTTGCTGAGTTTGGTAATCATAACAAACATTCACTGGTTTTTTTATGTCACATGTGTTATTATGATTTGATTTACCTATTCGGTACTTTCCTGTTAAAGGGAACATTCATTATTATCGATGTTTTTTTTCTCGATATATCGATGTTTTTGTTTTCCGATCCATTACAAATTGACAACAAGAAATGAAACTGTTCTAAGCTAACCTAACATAACCAACCATACTTGCTGTACCATTTAAAAATTCCCTTTGGGTTTGAATATAAAAGGCAAGTTTTAAACGCGGAATTTTTAAATGTTACAGCAAGTTTGGTTAGTTATGTTAGGTTATTTATTTTAGAACAGTTTCATTTCATTAATGTTTGTTGATACTGAACAATATTTTTCGTCATTGTCAGCTGATATGTTTCAATTTGTTAATATCGATATATCGAGAAAAAAATCATCGATAATAATGAATGTTCCCTTTAACAGGAAAGTACCCAATAGTCCCTCACAAATTCAATATTCTTATGGATCAGCTGAGTTAAATTATAATGTTGGCTCACTCCGTTTGTGCAGAGGTAATTTTGTTGCTTGATATTTTTATTTCTTGTTTGAAACCGCACTGAGCGAGAAATACAACAAGGGGTAGCACTAGCACTCCTGCTAGAAAATGTAGACGCAAATCTTACTAGGTAAATTTTGCCAACTAGGGTAATCAGCTCATTGGCTCATTGCTTAATGTATTACAATTTCCTTGTACAAGTGTGCTAAGTATAATATACTTTATACCCTAGTATAACGAATGGTGTCTAACGTCTCGCAGTTATCTCATTCAGTGCTACCTCGAGTTGTATCTATCTCTAGCTCAGTTTCTTAAACCAATTTCAAATTTATTTTGACAACTAAAACGTTCTAATTAAGGGTGCGCTCTACCTCTCCGCCGCGCGTTATAATGCAAGGGTTTAGGATCTCCGTTATTGTCAGCTTAGTTCTTAACAGTTTTAAAATATATTTGTGTTAATTTATTCACTTCTTATATCTGTAGGCTTGTACTTTTTTAATTTTTTTATAATAGTAGAATTCTTAGTGGGATGTGACTGGTAAATACGTCTAAATAAGCGTTTTTTCTAAAGCATTTTACACATACGTCATACACGTCATACAAGTTACAAGTACACTTCATACAGTTCATACACATCATAGAAGAAAATTTAAAAAGTAGGGTCATAAATTTTAATCTAAGGAGTAAGGAACAATCTTCAGATGAAAATAGTTTAAAAGTTAAGTGAGTTTAAGAGGAATCAAGCGTCTGCAAGCGGTTTTCGCGGCGCTATTCAATGGCGCAAAATAGCCACTGTGGTCCGAGTTGAGATTTCTGAGCTGAGGTAGAGCACACCCTTAAAACATCATCGTTTATTACTCGTTCTGCAAAACGAATTTAGCCTAAAATAAGATCTATTTGACACCAGTATAATTTATGCCATTAATACGAAATAAATATACAACGGTTTTCAGAAATACCATTTAAAACTTCTGAAGACTCCTAAAACTCAATACATTACAATACATCGCACAAACACTAATTATAAAATCGATGAAACCTTTACAATAAGCAATAATTCGACCAATCGAACACAATGGACAATAAAGAAGCACGAGTACACCGCGTGTACAGTAGTTGTAAATTACAATGAGAAAATTATGAGATAACCTTTGAGGTTCAAAAGTTGAGATGCTTCATCACCTGGCGCGGTCGTTTTAGCGGGAAATGGCGCTTGTGACAAACACTGCTGCCAACGTAGAGAAATAAACGCAATAATTCCCTCCGGTGTGACATTATGTGGTGAGTCACTGTAATTATGTTGTTTACGACACCTTGGTTACATCTTGCAACATTTCCGGTTCCCCGGTGCATCAGAGCGATGATTTGGCACTCAAACTGGCCCGTGTGATCTACCTGAGTCAACGTTGTAAATATCTTGCGTTTAACAGACATTCGTGTTTACTGAAAACAAGATTGGACTGGTCTCATTCATTTTATGCTTTATACTTTTCATTGAAATGGCGACCATACAAAGTAGGTAATTTAAGCCAAGTATGAATGGAGATGAGTGTAGGATGAGTGGCGATCTTGTAGCCTTGTTAGTGACTAAGGCCGGCATATTTCTTAGACACAGCTGTTAATAGCCCATACAGCTAATGGCAACTAAGGGACCTACAGTTTATAGTGGAATACAAACCACATTTTTTGCCTTGGTATTAACGAATTGGTCTAATTATCAGGATAGTACTGCGGATAGTCGTAGTACTCACTAGTGAGGACGTTAATCCATACTAGGGAGTATCGCATCCACAGTGCATGCCTATAAATATCCATAATTCGTGACTTCCTAGGGGAACGCGTCTAATTGGCACCGCGTCAGATTGGCACCGCGACAGATTGGCACCGCTCCTAGAGGTGCCAATCAGTCGTAACAGTACACGACAGATTGGAACCTGGAGAAAAGGGTGGTGCCAATCTGTCGTGGTGCCAAGCTGACGGCTGCCGCAGAGGTGCCAATCAGTCGTAACAGTACACGACAGATTGGAACCTCGAGAAATGAGTGGTGCCAATCTGTCGTGGTGACAAGCTGACGGCGGCCGCAGAGGTGCCAATCAGTCGTAACAGTATACGACAGATTGGCACCGCTGCCCTCAATAGGCCCACCTTTTCGTTACTTACTAGTCTGATGTTTGAAAACAGAAACGTGTCAATACTTGATGCATGTCAATTAATGCATACACATTGATAATAACATTAACTTTAACAGCACAAACCGCTTCGTAAATGGTCCATCTAATCAAAGTTACAGTTCCTCAAGGCTTTTAATATTATGCCATTAAACTCAAGTTTATAATTTGGAAAACGTCTGATACCTACTAAAGTATTTGGCACAATTGAATGGAACCTTGCAGTAATTTTTCGGAAGTTGGGTGTGCGTTAACCTGGTTAAAAAAGGTTTTTTCATTCAGAAGTTACAGCTTGTCAAAGATATGACAATTTATCATTCAGTTAACTAATATTATTTCAATGAAATGATATTTTTTATGCATTATAGAGTGATAAATTATGATATATTTGAGATGCTGTAATTTATTACTTAATTTACCTTTTTGTAAACAAGATGCGGTTGCACGCAAGTAGGCTTGCCCTATAAAATAATTGCCGGTACTTCCTTCTTGGACCAAAACTCTAAAATCAGGTAATGTATAACTCGAGGTATGGTTACACTGAATATGCAAATCTTCTGAAATGGGGTTATTTTGGCGTGAAATTTACGTGGATTAAAATATATAAAGCTATGGAAATTGAAAATGGTCGCTATGATGGATTTTCTGCCTCATATCAGGACTTTGAGAGAAAATACTTTTAAACACTTTCTTAGTATGCATCTAGACATAAGCTACATGCCATGATGTCGTGTTATAGTTAAGCAGTTTGTAACTCGAGACCGGCTGGATCTTTTTAATGATTTATGATTTGTTGGATTCGTCTTTAACCTGATTAACACATGTATCTTCAGTTCAGTATTTAAATTTAGGGCTAAGCCCCACATATGTATGTTATGCGTATGAAGAAAAATATGATGGATTTTGACCATATGCATACATTAATTTAAATATTTTCGAAACAGCTGATTAAACATTTGACAGGTAATGTAATTGAAAGTCATTTTCAGCTGTTTTATGGCGTCTGTGATTGTTTTTAAAAGGCTTATAAAAGTGGCCAGTTGATTTGGTTTTTTTAACTTTTATGGGGTACAAAGTTCGCCGGGTCATCTAGTTTGTAATGTACAGTTCGCTCAATGTTTCTGTAAACATAACAATAAAATACGTTTTATATTAATTGTTTTTCGTGTTAACATTAACAATTCGCATGTGTTTTCCTAGTAGGCCTTCGCTTTATTTAAGGAATCTTGATCAACAGTAATAAAAAAACAAATCGAAATCAAAATACTACTGAGCAAGGCTTGGTCCTAACAGTAGGCCTACTTTACAAATATTAGGATTGAGAAACAGATGGTGTGGTGTAGTTAACTGAACTGTCATTAATAAAAAACGACCCCTAAATGCCTCAAGGGTCACAGCACTGACGCTTGTTTTTATTTATGGCCTTGTCCTATTTCAAAAAAGGGTCATCTTGTAAAAGGTGCTTGAAAAAATATTCTAAACCCTCCCAGCGTTGAGTTTTCCGGCTTCCTCAAATTCTCTGTACGTCCACTCCTTTGACAATGTCAACGTTGATGTTGAAGACCAAATTGACAGTTGGAAATGCCACATAACTTGCAGACTCAAATATAGATAAATCCCCGTAATTTGAATAGCGTGAGGATGCCAGCAGTCCCTGGCGGTCGCCCGTAACAAAGACACTGTTGTTTGTCAACAAGGGATTAGGATTGCCCGTCTACCTGTTATGGGGGGAGGACTTTAAAGCCAGGTTATTGAACCACGAGGGAAATAATAGCTACGGTAAACCAGGCCAGATTTAGATTAAAAGTGCCGCACACATTATGTCAGTAGTGAATTGATATACGGGACTCGTATTAAGTGTACTGTACACTGTACTGTCAATAAAGGGGTTTCAATGATTTTAATTAACTTCAATATGGAAATCATTTTTTTTACACACTGAGTTAATATGAGTAAATATGGTATGGTACATGTTATAATGACTTTTCTAACATTAAATTTGAACATGAGGTTAGGTTTCTCTAATACAGCATATGCAGACTTACGATAATCTGAGCCCCAATTGATCAAGCCTCCATAGATAACCAAGCTCATCGGAAAAGTATAATAACAATTAAACTATTAAAACCGCGAAAATTAACGTGAAAAGTGAAGTTTCTTTCTTTTAGTGCAGTAGTAAGTAGCAACCAGGTAGCAACATTATTCTTACTAACAGTTGTTCGCTCAAGCTGTT